ATTATTATTTACACCCCTAGTGACTGCCAGAGAGTAACCAACCAGTCGCCTGGAATGCTGGTTGATCAGAGCATCGCTTTGGACAGATACGCTGCACAGGTTTCACCAGCAACCTGCGCAATCTTAGTAGTTATTATGAATTATTGTACTGCGAGCCCATCCCTCTGGCATTAAAAATCACCACCTCCCATAGTCTAAAATCCAGGATAATTTATCCGACTCGCGGGCATCCATGAACAACTATCTATATCAGGGAGACTCCCGGGACTTCCGGGAGACTAGGAATGTCTGGAAATCATCCAGGTGAGTTCGATTTCAGCGCATGAATCCTCCAAGGACCCGGTCTACCTGGACTGGGTTCTTGGATGTCTTTGAAAATAAGGAGGCAGGAAGAATTTGGCTATGGACTCAAACAGATCCAGCCTTCTCTGCCCATACAATCTGTTGCCTGGCAACCGTGACAGTTTACACACAAAGCAGGCAAAGAATAATAACATTTCTGAGGAGCTTCAGCAGCAGTACCGTCGTCTCAGATATCAGATTATCGTCCCCACCCTGCAGAGGTGTTAGAACCTGAGCTTAAATGTCAGCCAAACCTATTTACACAGAGACAGATAAAACCTTTAGATAAACCAAACATTACCGCCACATATCTGACTCTATAACCATTAAAACAAATATTTTCATTCATTTCAGACAAAGTATTCACAGACTGGATTATATTAAACTGAACTTCTGACCAACAGTAAGTGGCGGACTAGTGGTTGGGGCATTGCACATAGAATCCTGAGGTTCTGAGTTCGAGCCCCACTCCCACAGACTGCCACTCTGGGTCCATGAGCAAGACCCTTAACTCCACACTGCTCCCACAGTGGCAGCCCACAGCTGGGTGAAATGCAGAGATTTCATTTTGTTGCTCTGTACTAGTAACAGTGCAATAATAATAATAAAAAAGCTGGAAGCTGGAATATTCACCACTGTTTGGTGCCATTTCCCTTTTCCTCTGAGCACAGAGCAGCCGGCTGGCTTGGCCTCGCAATGAATCATGGGATACCCAAGGCTACAGAGGATACCTGTCCTTCAAAACATGGAGTCGTCAGCTGCGTAACGAGGAGTCTTCCAGTCTGAAAAGGTGCCGCGCTATGAGGTAATTGAAGATCATGGGGGCTCCTCTTCCCTCCATTAAAGACATTTCATCCCAGCGCTGCGTGTCCCGAGCCCGTGACATCATCAATGACCCCTCACCCCCCCACCATGGACTGTTCTCCCTGCTGCCCTCTGGGAAGAGGCTTCACAGCATTCAATGCAGGACCAGCAGGTTCTGCAGCAGCTTCTTCCCCACCGCCATCACACTGATGAACTGTTGAGAAAGAACTCTA